AAAAACCCTTGGATGATGGTTTGAATTGTAAGCTAAACTACCTGGTTTTTCCATGGAATACCATTTTTACTTAAACAACAAACTGTAGTTGCTTAGGCATTTGGCAGGTATTGTCTCAAAAATGAAGAAAGTGGGCTTATCACATCAAGGAAAGCAACTGACAGTATTTGTTGCTGATAACAAAATTTGGACTTTCAAATGAAAAGCAGAATTTTGGAAAATTTGTATCTGCCACTGTGAGCTTGACAGCCTTCCAAAACTTAAAGACTTTTCTAACAAGATCTCTGATGATATTAACTAATGTGTTTTTTTAAGGACATCTAATAAATGCGTTAATATTTTGAAGACCTACATAACTCAGTGAAACAATATTTTCCAAATGATGAAGACATGATGAATCAAGATTATGCATGGATAAAAGATTCAAAGCCCAAGAGAGACCAATGGATTTGAATGTAGTAGAGTACAAAAAGTTCATTGATATGGTGTGAGCCCACATTTAACTACTCTTTAAGAAACTACCTCTTGGTATGTTTCAGTGATATATTAAAGAAGAATATCCACAATTATTTGAAAAGGCTACTAAAATACTTCTCCCTTTTCCTACTATATTTTTAACTTGGGGAGGCTGGGTATTTCTCACTGTTTCAACCAAAACAATGTATCACACAGACTGAAAACAGAAGCAGACTTGAGAATCCAGCTGAATTCAATCATTCCAGACAGTAAAGAGATTGCAAAAATGTAAAACAGTGACACTGTTTTCAATGAAATTTTTTTTGTTTGTTTTTGGCAATGTAGTTTTCATGTACACACACAAAAAAACTATGTTAGCATGCAATATTGTTAGTATTAAGTGAACTAATAAATATTTTAAACATCTCCATTTTTATTTCTACTATGGTAAATATCAACAGATACAACCCACAGGAAAAAAATCATTCAGGTCCTCAATAACTTATGAGACCAACAAGTTTGAGAACCATTGTTTTTACTCAATTAATACTAGCACTTTTTTGGGTGGAGGGGGTCCTTTTTCACATGTCATGTTTTACTACCTCATTATTTTATATTTTTTAGTATTATTTTCTCAAACACAGAAATGAAGCCAGACACTTATATATGAAGCTCCCTGAAAGCAGGGTCTGGGACATTTAGGTACTAAAGAGGTATTTAATAAATACTGAATGAACATACTAAGAAACATAGGTGTGAAGTTTTTATAAGGTATGACATTTTAATAAAAATTCATAAAATATGTCCTCATAACAGTTAAGGACATTTAGGCAAGAAAGAAGTTACCACCATTAAATTATTTTTTACAAAAGAAACCTAGCATGTGGGTTATTATTCAGCAGCAGAAATTCACTTGAAGCCAAGTGCCTAAACTTTATTTCAGTCCTCTTTTACTTTATATCCTACCACATATGTACCATGTTGCCTTCTTAAATCATGCAAAGCTCTAAAATAGAGAGGACATAAAAATACCACAAACTATAAAGAAAACAACAAAGCTATGCAAAACTCTGACGGTGCTTAAGTAGCTGTGCTCAATTTTGTTATAATTTCCTTGCTGCCTGATGAGATCATTTCTCCCTCATATTCCAACCCCAGTTCTCATCTTATCTTACAAAGGATTCAAAGCTTTTAGATAAAGGTATAGCATAACTTTTTACTATAAAATTAAAGAAAAAACTATCTCTAATTTTATGATTTCTTGAAAAGAATTTCAAACAAAAACAAACAGAGGTTCCTGTGTCAAAGTTAGCTTTTTCCTGCTTCGAAATCTCATGATCAGAATCATATTCAAGAGACAGAATTTGCTAAAGCTTAACTCATTACCTGGTGGAAGTCATTCATTCAAAAAGCAACGAGATGGCTACTATGTGCCAGATGACACGTGGATGCTGGACCATGCAAAGTTTAACAAAATTTGGCCCTTGACCTAATGAAATGTAAAGATAAACAGGAAACAGAAAAAAGGGAACTTTAGATAAAATATATTAAGTGTAGTAATATAAACATACGTTGCTATTATGAAAGCACAGGTAAGCACAACCCATCCTGGAAAGAGATGGCTTTAATGAAGGAACTGATCCCTGGGTTGAGTCTTGAATAAAGAGTAAGAAGACAGGAAGCCTTGCCAGCAAACGGACAAGCTGGTACGAGATGAGAGTTTGAGGAAACGTGGCTGAGGGAAATAAGCTCCACTTGGAGAGCTTTCTGTGTCACGTTAGAGAGCTCGTATTTCATCCTATCGGCAGCAGGAGCCACTGCAAGGTTTTGACCAGAGGAGCTGCATATTATCTTCATTGTGGAAGATAATACTATCGGAGACGAAAGGGGAACAGAACTAGAGGCAGGGAGATGGTCTAGAGCAGGGACCAGAAAACTTTTTCCACGAAGAGCCAGAGCATGGAGATTAAAGCAGTAGCCTTTGGAGGCCACACGTTCTCTGCCACAACTACTCAACTCCACCGTTGGAGAGTGGAAGCAGTCGTGGCAGACATGCAAACACGACTATGCTCTGATACAACATTATTTACAAAACAGGCAGTGCGTCCGGCCCATGAGTCCTACTTTGCCAACCTGGCCTGGAGCAGCACTGCCCCAGAGAACTGTGTACAGTGATGAAACACGCCTGTACTTCCGTGTGCTGCTCAATGCAGCAGCCGCTGGACATGCAAAGCCATGAGGCACCGGAAATGCCAACAGTCAGACTGAGGAACTGAATTTTTAATTTTATTTAATTTTAAATGATTTAAATCTAAATAGTCGTATGTGGCTTTTGACTACTCTACTGAACAGTACAGAGCTGGAAGCAGGTAAGGCAGGCCAGACAGGAGATGAGGAAGCAGGGCACGGACAGTAGAGAAGAAGAAGAGGTGGCAAAGGTGAGGGGTATTTGGGAGGTGATATGGTACGACCCAATGGCGGAGCAAATGTAAGTGAGGGAAAACAGTCAAAGATGCTTCCCACGTGTCTGGCAGGGTAACCGAGTGGACAGCCGGACTGCCCGCTGAACGAGAGCATACAGGGGAAACTTGCCGCGTTGTTTTAGACACGTTGAACTTGATGTGCTACCTAAGAGGAGAACACTTGACTAGAATGCAAAGAAGAAGGTAATACTAAATATGCTCTTTTTATATAAAAACAACTGTGGCACAGGGATATTAAGTAACTTGTCCAAGGTCATAGTAAAGAAGTGGCAAGGTTGAATTGCAACTTGAGTTTATCTGATTCCAAAACGCGTACATAGTCCACTACACCAAGAGGAGCAAATAGGTAACAGTTGAGGCCTTGAGAGGAAGAACTCACTTAGAGAGAAGCATACAGAAGATCCTGGGCCAGAAGAGAGCCCAGTGGAACACCAGCATTTAAGAAACTATTTCTTACCAAGAAAGACTAAAAAGGAACGGTTAGAGAAATACAGGGAGAACAGGTGAATGCAGTGTCATGAAAGAAAAGGAAGTTTGCCTTTCCTTTCACAGGTGTGGCCAGGAGCGTGTGGTCAACAGAATAAAGTCCAGAGACAGACATGACACCACAGGCCCCAAGGAGAGTTTACTGGTTTTTGCAACTGGAAGTCACTGATGCCTTTAATGAAACAGTCCCAGCAAAACGGCAGAGCAAGAAGCCTAATTATAATGGGCTAAACAGCAAAAAGGGTATGGCAAAGTAGAGAAAGCAGACATAAACCATGCACTTCGAGTGTTTAGTAGGTTTTGGCACCATGAACACATGCTAGATTAGCACTCACTGAACACACACTGAATGACAAGTACTGTGCCACGTGCTCTACATATACAGTCCCATTTAATCTCCACAAAAAACTGTGAGGCCTGTAAGTATCATTATCCCTATTTTATAGGTAAGAAAACTGAGGCTCTAAGAAGTTAAATAATCTTCTACTTATACCCAATGGTAAATGGGAAAGCTTGGATTTGAATACAGGTCTTTTGACTTTGAAGAACACGTTCTTTCCTCTATGCTTTCGTGTTATCAGAGTCTTTGAGGAATGCAGAAGGAATATTTCCTAAAAATATTTAAAAGGCCTCGAGCCCAAGGAACTGATTTTTTTCTTAAAGAAATAAGATTATAATACATGGAACACTGGCAAACAAGACAGTCCATAAGTACTTGGGAAAGAAAAGGTTAAGCAGCAGATCTGCAATCTCTTCTCTCCTGTTTGGTGGCAGAAACACCATCCCCTTATCACCCCCACCATTGGCAAGAAAAAAGATAAGAAAAAATAGGCAATTTTTCAAACTTACATAAATAGCCAACAAGCACATGAGAAGATGCTCAACACCATGAATCACAGAAAAATGCAAATGAAAACCATATGAGATAATCACCTCACACCCATTAGGATGGCTACTATCAAAAAACAGAAAATAACAAGTTTGGGCAAGAATGTAGAGCAATTGGAACCCTTGTGCACTGTTGGTGGGAATATAAAAAATAGAAAAATTAGCCAGGTGTTGTGGTGTACACCTGTAGTCCCAGCCACTCGGGAGGTTGAAGCAGGAGAATTGCTTGAGCCCAGGAGTTCAAGGTTGCAGTGAGCTACGATGATGCCACTGCACTCTAACCTGGGAAACAGAGCAAGACGCCATCTCAAAACAAAACGAGGACATTGGATTTGGCAATGATTTTTTGGTTATGATACCAAAAGCACAGGTAACAAAAACAAACATAGACAAATGGGACAACATCAACTTTAAAAACTTCTGCACATCAAAGGAAACAATCAACAGAGTGAAAAGGTAACCTATAGAATGGAAGAAAATATGTGCAAACCATATTAATATGTCTGATAAAGGATTAATATTTAGAATACAGAAGGAACTACTATAACTTAACAACGACAAAACCCCATTAAAAAATGGGAAAAGGGCTTGAATAGGCAAACATTTGTACCCCTGTAATATTTTGAAATAAAAAAATAAAAAATAATAAAAAACAAAACTAAAATAATAATGACATCAGTAACCTACCGCTGATTCACAAAAGGGCTGGAAAGCTCTGCAAGCAGGCGAAAATTCCCAATGTATGCCAGCACTCCATCTTTCTAGATGATAAACACAGAACACAATGTCAAGGATAACATTCTTACCAAAATTTCCAAACACTGAAGAAATAACTATTCAACAGCCTCTCAACATAATACAACAATCAATATCAAAGCAGACCAAAAAATTTTCTATCTTTCGTTGCTAAACTAATTTTCTTCTTTATGAAAATTTAGAAATATCCTTAGAATTCTACGATATTTTTAAAAGTATGTTATACACTTATGTTCATTATGTATATATAATATTCAATTATGAAAATAGGTTTTAAGCAGTTGTCTTATGTTGAACAAATGAACTCTGTAAATAACCATTAATAATGGCGTTCTCAATTACTGTAGAAAGAATGATCACAAGGTAGTGTGAATTGCAGAAGCTGAGGAATTTTATAACAATTAAACACCTAATAGGAACTCATTTTTATATCCATTATTATAATAAGTACAAGCACCTTAAAAATCTCAAAAGTGTACTTATCCTAAATAATATATAAGCCTGTGAGCACCTTTGGGACCTTCCTAAATTTAAACATAATACCTATTACATTCCACTAATAATATGAAAAGTACAGCAGACTTAATAAACATTAGGAAAAAGAAGTATACATTCTAAGAATTTGAATATACTTCAAAATTTGCAACTAAGTAAATGGAATCACTCCAGCACTTCCAATTAAATCAGAATTATGATTACACGCCAAAGAAAATATTCTTCCTCACCCCCAATAGATATATGAAACTTCATAAACTATTTTTCTACTGGTTATTCCATGCTGTCTTCCAAATGAACACACTATGAAACATTAAAAAAAATACATGAACTTTTTATTTGAAGATGTTTAGCATTTATCCATGAAAATTATTTTAGGAATTTAAAATCCAGAGCTGGATTATAAGAATTAGCTTTACCAAGGCTAATCTTAAACTTTTTATAATTTCGAATTCAGTGTCCTTAGTGATACTGGAATGTGTGATGACGATCACATTCTGAGGTTCCAGGAGTTAGGACTTCAACCTCGTATTAATCTTGGAAGGGACACAATTCGACCCATAACAATGCTCAATCCCAAATTCTTTTCTGCATGTTGTGCAGTATATTCTCTTTTAGCTATCAATCTCCCTAATTTAATTTGATGTATCTTTCTGTCTATAAGAACATGTTATGATATACTAATATATATAGAATATATTGTATGGATTTCCATATATAATAAAGATAACCTCCTTTATCAGTGATGTCTGGGGAATTCTGGTGTTGGTATAGTAACTGTTCTTATTTTCATTACCTAAATCCTTAGAAAAATATAGTCATGGTATTCAGTGTTGTAGATTAGCCAAACACTATCTCAGTACAAATCACAACGGTTAATCTAACAGGCAAAGTCAGAGATAGATTGTTACTGCTCACAATTACAACACACTTGAATTGCATCAATCACTGTGATGCAACAACAGATGATCCATTACTGTGAACCACAAATCATTTTTTTTTTTTTAATGTTTGCCTTTTGAGACAGAGTCTTGCTCTGTCGCCAGGGCTAGAGTGCCATGGCGTCAGCCTAGCTCACAGCAACCTCAAATTCCTGGGCTCAAGCGATCCTCCCACCTCGGCCTCCCATAATGCTAGGATTATACCTATGAGCCACCGTGCCCAGCCGTGAACCGCAAATCATAGCTGCCATGATTTCTGCATCACAGGAGGAAGTTCCCCAGGATGCAAGATTTTTAATGGTAACATGGTAAAACCAGGACAGCTGTGGGCAGACCACTCCCACCTTTATTTTATTATATATTTATTTTAATACATAACAGAAATCACATTTGCAACTGGGAAACAGGAAGGATGAGAAAAGAACAAATGCCTGACCTCTATAACTTATCCAGCCTTAGTACTTTAAAGATAATAGGAAAAAAACTGCCATTTACATTTTAAGCCCCTGGATATTTTGTGTGCTTTTTTAATTAAAAAAAAATGGTGACTTGTTCAAAGTTTAGGTGACTTTTTTTTCCAAAAAATTGGTTGGAATATTTGAGTTAAGAAGAGTTTGGGCGCCAGGCATGGTGGCTCACGCTTGTAATCCTAGCACGCTGGGAGATGGACGAGGGAGGATTGCTTGAGTTCAGGAGTTTAAAACCAGCCTGAGCAAGAATGTGACACCCTGCCCCAAAAAAGACGACTTTGGAAGAACAAGTAACTGTGTTCAATTGTAGATAATCCCAGTAAAATAAGAAAGCTGTAATGTTCTGTTTTTCTTTCCCTCCACACTTAAATTCTGCAGTGAATTAGGGTAAGGGAGAACTTTGAAAATAGTATACAACTAGAACGTGACTCTTGTAAGGACAAAAAATGAAAGGATAAAGTTATTTTAATGAGATTCTTACTTGAACCAGATACAAACATTTTTGAAGTATTTTTATTAGTATGATCCTTCACTATAATGGATTCATGTATATAATAAACACGTACTCTTGTTTCTAAAAGATAAATCCTCTTGTTTAAAACATTGCCCTTCTCCCCTCAGTTTAAGGCAGCTCTTCTTCCAATCTATTTTTCCTAACAATTTTCTTTTGATTTATTGTTTTAAGTCTACAATACTCTACTTAATAATGTCCAATGTTTAGAGAATATGACAGAACAGACTGAAGCAAATTATTATGAGTTCATATGTTCCTAAGGCCAGCCAAAATCCTTGCTAAATTACTTACTGTAGCCTTCAAATGGTTTTTCCAAAGATGAAATCCAATACCGAAATCTGTTTTTATTTTTTATTCTTTTTAAATTATTATTATTTTCTTTGAGACAGGGTCTTGCTCTGTTGCCCAGAGCACAGTGGCATTATCATAGCTCACTGCAATCTCCAACTCCTGGGCTCAGGCAATTCTCCTGCCTCAACCTCCTGAGTGGCTGGGACTACAGGTACATACATACTAATACACCAGGCTAATTTTTCTAGTTTTTCTAGAGACAGAGTCTCACTCTTGCTCAAGCTGATCTCCAACTCCTGACCTCAAGCAATCCTCCCACCTTGGCCTCCCAAAGTGCTAGGATTACACTAGCTAGGGCCACCGCACTTGGCCCTGTTTTATTTTTAACAAAATTTGACATTCTATTTCTAAAATATTTTAAAATATCCACATAAAATATTGAAATAATATAGTAGCGATAGGCTTAAACTTTAAAAGACAATTCTAAAAATTTCTCTCTAGTTAATATTAACTTTAAAAATATATCCATGAAGTATATTATATCTAAGACATTTTTTGAGAGTTTAAGAGATTACTTCGTCCAACTCCTTTCATATTGGTATAGAATTAAAAATAACTATTAACATTAACCAAAGTACCAAATTATTAACAGATTAAACCTGATTTTATGATAGTCTTCAAATCTTAAAAGAGGTACTAGTAAAAATAGTAAATTTGATATGTTGTTTTCATCCAACCAACTTTGGCCAAAGTGCAAATTCTCCTCACTTTGAGGATACTTTCTCTTGAATTTAAAAAATGGGGGGAGGGGCTAACATCGTCTTCCTTCTACTAATTTCTCTTTCCTCTTTCCAAAGAGAAGGGTTAGTTCTCTTATTTCCAGCCCACTGGTTCTCTACATGTGGTCCCTAGACCAGCAGCATGACCTGGAAACTTGCTAGACAGGTATATTCTTTGGCCTGTCCTAGACACAATGAATGGGAAACCCTGGAGGGTGGGACCAGAAATCTGTGTTTTAATAGGCCCCCCAGGTAATTCTCAAGTATATTAAAGTGAGAGAGCTGTTGTCCTAGCCTAGAGATGACTGGCAATCTATACGCCTGAATATAATAAAGATAACCTCCTTTATCAGTGATGTCTGGGGAATTCTGGTGTTGGTATAGTAACTGTTCTTATTTTCATTACCTAAATCCTTAGAA